TGCATTGCATACATACATGCATGCATACATACATACATACATGCATACATGCATGCATACATACATACATACATACATACATACATGCGTACCTGCCTACCTACATACATGCGTACCTGCCTACCTACATACATGCATACATGCATACATGCATACATACATACTTACACACATACATACCTACCTACCTACATACATGCATGCATGCATGCATGCATGCATACATACATACATACAAACGTACATACCCACATACGCACATACGTACATGTATGTATGTATGTATGTATGTCTGTATGTATGTATGTATGTATGTATCTAGTTATCTATCTATCTACCTATCTATCTATCTATCTATCTAGCTGGCTAGCTAGCTGGCTCTGTCTCTCTCTCTCTCTCTCTCTCTCTCTCTCTCTCTCTCTGTCTCTCTATCTATCTATCTCTCCATCTCTCTATCTATCTCCATCTGTCTATCTATGGGTTTCCTGGGGGTCCTTTTTATAAGGGTGCCATGCTATATGTGGGACTTAAACAGGGACCTTAATTCAGAGAGCTACCCACATAGATGCATGCATACATGCATACGCACATGTGTTGTTGATGGTTAAGAACGTCGCTTGGCATCCCCCCACCACCAACTGCAAGTCCTCAAGCCTGAAGCCCCTGCTGCCTAAAGCCCGAACCTAACTCTAAACCAACAATACCCAAGCCCGGAAGCTCAAGCCCCAAGCTGTGGGGGATGGTCCGTTTCACGGGTGGGGCGGAAATGGGGGGAAGGGGGGGGATTGGACCTACCGGGCCTCAACACACACACACATGTATGCATGCAGGCTTACAAGCGTACATGGATACATGCAAAAAACGCATACGTGCATCACGCATATCACTTGCATACTTCCCTGCATATGCAGTGATGCTGCTTCTTCATTGCCCGGAGTCCTGCAGCACTGCAGTCTTCTATCAGTTTTCCACCTGCGCAGCACATCACTGAATCAATCTCCAATAATTTCTTTCTGATGGTCATGCCGCCGTGACTCTACCACCCTCCTCCCCACGATCCAATTCCACAAACGCAGCTTCAAGCGGCGTAAGTCATTCATCATGTGCCCGGTCCTATTGTCACAGGGATCACTCGAGCATTGCCTTCAGGTGCCCATAGTCCGCTGGTACATGCGGCGCCGAAAGACTGCTGCCTTTGAATATGGGCCAGTAGAGCTGTCCCAGATGACCCTGGCTGCAGCTAAGGAGATTTGCATGTCACATATATGTATTTACACACACAGACACATAAGACTTGTATGTATATGTGTGTATACAACTGTATATGTGTGTACAACTATGTCTATATTATGTGTATGTATGTATGTATGTATGTATGTATGTATATATATATAGATATCTATATATCTATAAATACCTATATCTGTATACCTATGTGTATATGTATATATGTATGTATGTATGTATGTATGTATGTATGTATATATATATATATAATTTAATGTATATGTATAGATGTATAGCATTCATATACTTTGCAGCTGCGCGAAGATATGTCTCTACATATTTGTATATGTGTATATACCGTCACGCATTGGATCCTGGGACAATGCACAAAGACTTTCGCTGGAAGGAGCTGCACCAGAAAGGAGATGTCTCCCTGCAGCAAAAGCGAACCAGCCTTGTCCCCGACGCGCTGTTGGACCTCGAGGCCATTCTTGTGTTGCATTTATTATATATATATATACCTAGCATAGATTTACAAAAGCACGGTAGAGCATAGTAGAGTATAGCATAGTAGTATAGTCGTCGTACAAGAGTTGCACGGCCAAGTCTTGCCAGTGCTTGGCAGGAGCAGGCCGAAGAGATGGCCTCCTCGCTTGCGCCTGGTGCAGAAGTAGACGTACGTGCTAAGGCCTTCCTCGGTCGTGCAAACACTGGACTGTTGATTCTGATCAGACTTCTGAAAGGCTTTGCAGGCTGTTGGTGCGCCACCGTTCAAACGCCGCTTCGGCTGCTAACAGATCTGTGGCCTACAACTTCGCCTGGGGTGCCAGTGTGTAACGCACGTCAACTTAGGGTTTCTACGAGAAAGACGAGTTCCAGATCTCGTGCGAAGCAAGTGCCACACCTTACAGCTGAACATAGGCACAGCAGCAATGGTCTTGCGTTGGAGTGACCATCTGCTTGTTGTATCGTTCCTCTCTTACACCATCTGCAGTCTTGTGCTGAACTAATTGTAACTACTATGGCACCGCTGCACTCGTGTATTCGGCAACAGTTTTGCATCATTGTGCCCACCATCTGACTGTCTTGCTGTGCTGCCTTGTGTTCCGAAGCTTTGGAACGTGGAGGCCTCTACTGCAACCAAGCTTGCAACCACTGCCACGTAGAGTCATCGCCTCTTCGCAAGGAGATGATGTCTAAGGACGGCCTAGGGTCTGGGGTCGAAAGCGGGGTTTTCGAGCTCGGACCTCCTCCGACCGCCTCGCAGGAAGTGGTAGAACGTTGCCTTCTCCTACTCAAGAATTCGCCGACCGTGAAGGCCCCCTTGGGCAGCTGGGGGACCTGGGGTCTTGGGCTCTTGGCCACCAGAAAACCCCCTCTGAAACTCCGCTCAGGTCCTTGACATCACGGGTGGGGCGCCAGAGCTGAACCGAGGCTTCCGGCGCCTGGTCGAGGGAGCAGCGCAGCTCCGGGACGGGGATGAACGGGACCAGTTCGCCTTTTGGTGATGAAATTCACTTTGGGGCCCCTTTGAGGAGACTGGGGAACGACCAGATTTGCGCATCATTGACCGCTGCAACTTGACGGTCGGGGCTCAATGTGAGATCTTTCGCATGCTGGGAGCAATCCTGGGCTTTGGCTCTGAGGTTCTACTGGAGCCTGGCCAAGAGTCCCTTCCGGCCTTTTTAGTTGACACGGGCGTAGACATCATTGCTTCTCTGCCAAGCTACGAGCCGGATCAAACAGACAGGCGCGCCGGATAGCTGTAGCAGCGTTTCAGCTTCAGTTCAAGCGAACGGAGCCCCGGTAGAGGGCGTAGTGAAAAGTCAGCACCCCTTAAACCGTTCGCAGACAAACCCAGTTGTGCAACCACTAATCCGGAGGCAACGTGGGAGGAAAGTCTTCGAAAGGAGCATTCAGGCGGGCTTTGGTCATGTGTGACAGAGACCCATCAGCTTCGTTGCGATAGACTTGACTGCAGGGCCTTCGGATCTTGAACCAACATGGTTATGGCTCAGGCTCCTGGCCTTCTTTCATTGTCAGTTTCTTTTCTTTCGACATGCTTTGCGCTCAAGTTTTCTGCTTGTTGCTGTGTGGTTTACCGCAGTCCCTGTTCAGATTGCCAGCACACCTCGTCCAGTATCATTCGGAATGAAGTTCTCTCCTTTTGGCTTCCTTGAAGTTTATACACACACACACAAACATGTGGTGCAGGTCGACTGCCCGTTGCATGTGTGCATGTATCATGGGGTCTATTTACAATGTACGTCCTGTCCAGTCTGAGGTATGCTGCTGCTGTGAGGTATCAGGATATCGTCCATGTCTGCGATAATCAATAAGGGCAGCTGCCTTCTTTTTCGTTGTAGTCGTACTCAACTGCAGCAGGACTGCATTGGTAAGGCAAAGCAACTGTTGTTGCCGTGGATGCTGCACGTAACCAATGCCGTTCTTGCTAGCGGCATGAATAGAATATGCGCAGTATTTTGCAGCACATGATGCCAGACTGAGGATGGACATGTGTCGCTGCTTGCGCCAGAGCGTGTAGCATGATCGTGGTTTGCTTTGTATGCTGATACCGTGTTGGTCATATTCTCGCAGCGATCTCTCGACACATGCACAGTACATATGCATGTGTGTGTGTGTGTGTATAAGTACATGTATATGAGTATATGTATCTGTTTATAAAGTAAATTAGATGTACTGTAGATGCATATGTATTTGCATTGTTGTTTGTCCACACTGGTCCGTCTGTATGTCTGTCTGTCTGTCTGTCCGTCCGTCTGCCTGTCTAGCTGGTGTAGATATGCGCGTACCTTCAGATGCAGTCACACGTTTACAGATACCGAGCGATGCTCCCAAGGAAAGGGGGGACGGCGCCTCGATCTCGTGTTCAATCCGCCAGGGCCGTTTCTGCCGCCCAGGCAGCAACAGCCACTTGGGATCCATCCACCCAGTGCGGTCGATAGCATGTGGGGTTAGTTTTTCGCGGTGTCTTGGTGATCTACCGGTTGCAAGGCCTAAGACTTCAGATTTCCAGCGTACGGGCTTAGACGGGGCAGGAAGGTCCTCACCAATGAGCGACTGTCCCTGAACTTTGGTTTAAAGCAACCTGAAAGAAATCACAACTACACGCTCAGGCAGAGCCCAAAGAACAAAACATTCGTTGGCCCCAACTCGTAGCTCGAAGCCAGAAAAATCGTGCAGAAATGGGAAGTTTGCCCACCGAGGTTAGAGATGAAATACAAGACAGAGCTGGAGACTTCCTACGGCGTCAAGTTTGACGGCTTGCCGGCCAGGTTGATTTTAGTTTGGCTTGGTGAGTCTGATGGGTCCTGCCATGCATACCGAAAATAGAGAGACGGGGATTTCCGCGAAGTTGCCTCCTGAATGCGTCCAAGGCCTGCTGACCATTGCCAACATGCCCATCAAGCGGTACTTCGACTATCTTCGGAAAAAAGGTCCGGCTGGAAATTGCTGCAAACAGAGTCGCGTGTAAGACGTCAGCCTACAGAAGCTCTGCTTTCTGGCAGGTGCGCTGGAGGGCTACATGGACACTCGGGTCTTTTCGAAATCCGGAAAAGGGGGGCTTTGTGTGATGCTCCAGTTCAGAGCTGGCCCCAGTCACAGCATCAACATCAGGGACCCGATGAGTAAATGAGTTCCTGAAGATGAGTGGAATGCACCTTACCGGCAACGGCCCCCAGATGTCTTGTGACAAGAGCCTTCGTCACCACACTTCGTCAGCTTGACGACGTCTCCGGGTGTCGAGCAAGCTAGACTCGATTATTGCAGTCTTACCTCCTGAGAAGTAGTTGTCCAGGATTTGCTGGTCCGCAACTTCAATGAAGACACGGTCCCGGATCTCATGTGCACCAACACTGTCAATGTTGGCTGGGATGGGAAATTGCTCCTAAGTTGAATTTGGCACATGGTGTGTGGCGGCAGTAGTTTGAAGAGATCTGCGGCTGGAGGTATGACTGTGACTTCAACCAACAGCTGGAGTTGGGTCTCGGAGGTGGTCTGAGTGTATTCGACGTCGAGAGCCTTGACGACCCCAAGTTGCAGAGAGCCGCCAGGACCTCAGCGACTCGTCCTTTGATTTCATGCAGTATTGGACGTGTGCAACTGAGGGAATCCTGACCGCGGCTCACTGCTACGGTTGCACAGCAGCTCAAGGCTCAAGCTGACAGGGCGCGCTGCGCTAGGCGCGCTGCGCTAGGCGCGCTCGGCCGCTGACACCGCTCGCTGACATCTGGCTTCTTGGAGGCTGCTTTGGAGCCCTTCTTGGCCAGGATCGCATACTCCCGCCGACCCGAACCCAGAGCAGCCGAGTAGAAGCACAAGAACTTCTGGAGTCTTGGCAACAGACCACTTTGGCAGCTCTCATCCCGAAGGGAGGAGCTTCCAGATGTGCGCCATGAGACACAGAAGGGCTCCAACCCAGGCCGCCTAATTCGATGGTCGCTTCACATAATGGAGATGCCATGCACTGTGGGGCTGTGATCGGCCCCTGTCTGCATGCATGAAAGCTCGAGATCCATTTCGGGGGCCTTGCGCCAGCTGGCGCAAGCCCCGTCCCGGTCCGGGCCTGACGGACTGCAGATATTCGCTGGTCCCCCTTCTTAGCCCCACTGGCGAAGGACCGGCCATGTGCTAAGGGAGGCCTTTGCCTTCCACACCGTCTGAACCGCCACTTGGGCATCAGACCCAATTTTCGACTCCACGACATGGAGGGAGGGAAGAAACCGTTCCAAGTCCATGTCGCCACGGCTAGCTTTCTACGGAGCCAACCGCATCAGATACTGCATTTTTTGAAGATTCACCACGCCTTTGTCAGATGTAAAGACATCGGATCAGGCGCAGCTCCTCGTACTGCTGTGAGCGCGACCTGTTTGCCGACCGCAGGGCTTCTGCTTCAGAAGTAATTGTGAGTCCTTCGATGCTGAAGCTCGCTTTTTCCCGGTTGGGGGGCCCACAAGGCTGCAGATGGCGCGGCCTCAAACCAGAATTGAACACATGACAGGCAGGATGTGGGAGCAACGCCGCATGCCTCGGACCTGGACGAGTGTGGGCAGCGCTTCATGAAGGTGGGGCCTGACATGTCTGGGCGCCGAGTTTCGAGATAGTGAGAGCGCAACATGTGTGGCCTTGGGCTTTTGATTATCATGTTAACTGCTATTACTACAGTTAGTACATGTTCGTACTGTTAGCTTTAGGTTCAGTATTAGTATTAGTATTAGTATTAGTATTAGTAAATCTTTAGTCTTAGTATTCGCACTGTTGTTCTGTTGTTGACAGGCCTTTGAGATTCATGCGGCCGTGCGTCGCCTGGATCTCTGTCTCAGGGCGTGGCAGGAGGTTTTGCGATGCTTGGGGGTGCAGCCGAGGATGGCACCTGAGAACACCCAATTCCGAAGCTTTCCTGCAGCATTTGAGCTCCGAGGAGAAGTGTGTTGAAGAGCTTGGCTTGTCTTTTTGCAAAGACGGAACCTTCCAGGATCTGTGCTGGGCGCTGCATTCTGACTGCCAGGGCACTCTTGTGGACCGGATCCTGGAGGCTGGAGAGGGCTGGAGCAGCTATGAGCAGCTGGAGTACAAATTCCGGAACCTCCTCCCCTGCGAGTTTTGCTGAGTTTCGGGTGCCAGGTCCTTGGCCATGACTTGGACTGGCCAGCAGAAGCCCTTGGAGAGTCCAAGCCCTCTTCTACGCTCTGGGATCTTTGGCCCAGGCCTTGCGTCATGTGGGACTTGGGCTCTGGCTGCGAGACCTCCAAGCCCTCAAGAAGGCCGCCATCCCTCTCAAGACCCATGTTTTTGTCTTTTGCATCTCCACACCTTTGCAGGTGCTGGAGCAGCTGCCTCGAGCCCTCCTTCGTCGGCAGAGTGCTCCGGACAAGGCCAGACAGCGGCTATTGGCCTGACCTTAAGTCGCCCCATGGCACCAAAGAGCGCTAGCAGTTAGCTGCTCCACCCGTAGAGAAGAAACGGCCACTGTGTTGAAAGAGGTGGTACAAAACAGGCTTGTCAAGAACCCCACTATAGGAGCGCCCGATTGAAGTTGGAAGCACTGCCCGTCGGACCCGACAAAGAGGGAGCAGTGCGAGGAAGCCTTAGCTTCTGCGGCGTCAGGAGATTCAGCCAGAGGCCGTTGCGCTCTGGTACGCCCTTATGGGAAGACGGACTCTGCTTGCTGCGCACGGAACTTAGGACAGACCGGTATCCTCAGAAGGGTGTTTGTCTTCGTCAGCTCGTCTGCCATCACTGCCATCTGCAAGCTTTGTTTGATCTTGCAGAGCTGCAACAAGCACTATGGAACCTTCCCGCAGCGGTTTTGTGGCTTGTGCGTTTTTTTGCAGAAAAAGGGAACCTGAAGTCCAGACACAATCGTTGGTCGTGACTTGGCTGCAGCTGGACTGAAGCAGAGCCTGGGCAGTTGTCTTGCCTCCCTGAAGCTGGTACAAGTGCTGCCAGACTGAGGAGATGTGCTTGGGTGCTGTGAATGCGAGGCTCCCAGTTACCACTGGAAGGTGGTCACATGTCGCATAACTACACGAGCGATTGCATTTGGGGCCCCGTACTGAAGTTATTAAAGGCAGATGGCAGCCTTCTCTGCAATTGCCACGTCCAAGCAAACGGCCCGCAAGCTTTGGTTGAGAGTCGGCATGTCTTCGAATTCTCTGACGATGCTTCAGCGTTTTTCGAACTGTTTCCACCTCCCGATTGTCCAGCTACGAGGTACTGGTTTTGTCAGTCTTCTTTCTGCGTCTCCTGCGTCAATGTCAGTGTTGTAGCAAGAGCGGCCATGCCACCGTCATCAGGTTGAGGCAGTGGTTGCGGAGCAGACTGCGAAGGCTGGTGTGGATGGTCGCCAGAGCCAGATAGGGATGTTTGTGCCGGGGGAGGCAACCGAGGCTCTCGTGGATGAGCTGCTCCGCACAGCGGTGGCAGCCACAGCCGAGGCCCCAAATCGCGCTGTGAAGCTTCTCGGCCGCAAGAGCTTTTCAGCTGCAACTGCAACCTGATTCTGTTAGCGGCAACCAAGGAGACGTGTTCGTCAGCGCTTGCACAAGAAGTTGGGAGCTGTGCTCAACAAGCAGGTTGGAACAGTCTTTGCGGAAAGCAAACCTCCTGGCGCATCCAGCATAGAGGGGGCTGATGCCTTTTGAGTTCTTGATTCCAGCCGATGTCACGAATACACTCATGCATACGTGAAGCAGGAGTTTGAAGTGGCCATGGAGCGCTTTCATGCAGCTGCCGAGGCTGCGGGTTCTTGTACTTGATGCCATCTACAATAGAATCATAGATGCCGAGCATTCTGGGAACAAGTAACGACGCATGATATGTATGATTGTATGTATGCATGTATGCATGTATGTATGTATGTATGTATGTATGTATGTGTATATATAAAAATTTGTTCTGAAGTGTTGTCACAGTATGCAAAATCCGCTGCGACTTGCAAATGCTTGACGGATCGCCATCGTTGGAAGTGCTGTGTGTCAGAGAACAACAAGCAAATGGTCAAATGGGCGATCTCACTACTGACGCATTGACTTGTCGAGCCATGCCGAGTTGAGGCTCAGCGCGTTCGTCAAGATGAGGCTGCTCGTCCACAACGTAGAGGCAGACCGGGTCAACAGCTGAGATAGGGAGCAGCAGATCGCAAAAGGAGCCGAAGTCTTCAAGGTCAAAGGTAAAAGCGAGGGAAAGAAGCACAGCGAAGTTTCCAGAACGCTTTGCAGGCCCTGTCAATCGAGCACCCGTCTCAGCCGCTGCCTGAAAGAATAAGATTTGGGCGTGGCCGCTTTCCCTTGGGAGTGGATCCTTGAGCCTTGAGGCTCCCATCGGCGCGGCTCCTGCCAGGCAGGGAAGCAGCAGAAGCCCAGGTGCCCTTCACCGAGTTGTCGCACCCGCGAGGCCTCCGCAAGCCTCCCCGTCGCAAGTGGTGGCCGTGCCAGTATGGATGGTCAGCTCCCCAGGAATTTTGCCTTCAGGCACTAAGGCGCAAGAAGCGATGTGTCTTTAGGAAATTGGCATCGTCCGTAGGTTGTGAGCGTCTTGGCAGGTTGGAGCTCCTGTGGCTGGACCTGCCCCTGCCGGGAGGCAGATGGCCCATGGTCTCCACACCTTCACGGACTTCTGCAAGCTCTCCTGCGGGCAGGATGGGCCAAGTGCAAATGCCACAGATGCCGCAGATGCCGCAACAGATGCAGCCGCGCTGGAATTGCGGAATACCGGTCTGCGCGGTTCAGGACCACAAGAGCCCTGGGAGGTAAATGCAGGCTGTGACGCCGCAAGAATTATAGAACAGGGTTTGGGGCGTATTGTAGTGTAGTTGTAATTTGCAACAAGGAGCCCTTAAGACTAGGCATGATGCGATAGGCCGTTTCCATTTTGCCGGGGAGAGTCAGCAACGTGTATCTTGGCAGGATGTTCGCCAATTCCAAGAGCAGGTTCGCGTGCCGGAGATGACTTCCGCTCAGGCAAAGGCAGGTCGTGTTGGAGGAACGGAGGGGTTAGCTTGGAACCGTGGCAAAATGCAGGTGCCACACATGAACCAGACATACATGGAGCCACAGGCAAGTTGCAAAGTCGCTGCAAATTGCAGGTTTTGATGCCTTCGTGGAAATCCTGCTTGCGGCATGTATGTTGCCAGTTGCAGGAGGACCTCGATCTTGGTGTCAATCAGACTTTCAGGTTTCAACGCGGCATGGCTGCAGCTCGCATGGAGCATAAACGACACGAGCCTACCCACAATGCCTGTGCAAGGTGCCATGTCCGAGGGAGCAGGCGAGGAAGATGCAGCAGAGTTTTTTGCCGAGCACTCGTCTTTGCTTTTCGTTCCTTTTGAACTCACAAGTCCTCCAGGGCCAGGACTGCTTCCGCAGCTGACTAAGTGCAGAGACGAGTGTTGGTTGGTGGTGTGTATTCGCTGCATGCATTATCACTTTTCTACCGCAGCAGACACTTGGACGGCCTTGGTTTGAGAAGATTGAAGTGCAGGCTGTGACCACGTGCAGACTGTGCAGAATGCAGGCAGGGCAGCTGACAGCAAGACAGCAACTGTCGGCACTGTGCGCGTGTCGCGGTGGGTCGAGTAAGCCCTTCACGGTGAACCTGGAAGCTCCTGCTACCGCAAAGAACCATCGCAGTAAGCTAACTAGATGTGAGTTTGATGGAAGAGGCCCCTTCGGCATTCGGTGTTTCGATGCCAGGACCGGCTGCCAACCTTCCTGTGCAGCGCACGTTCATTCAGCTTGGGTCTTGGATTGACGCTACGGTGCCAGCTCTCCTGGCTGTTGCACTTCAAGGATAATCGCGCTTAGGCAAGCTAATTGCTTGAAGCTCCGTGGTTGCTCAGCGGTAGCAGCTTCCTTCACAGGCCGGTAGTTTACACCTCAGTTTGCATGAGAATGCGGCAGGTTCAGCAGCCAGGACGGCAGCCAACGCCGCTCCAGGCACTCTGATGTTATGATGCAAAACACCGCAGCAGGGCACTGCAGATTTACTGCTACTGCTACTTGTGCTGCTACTGTTACTGCTGCTGCTTCTTCTTCTGCTGCTGCTGCTCCTCCTTCTCCTTCTCGTGATCCTGCTGTTTCTGCTCCTCCTGCTGCTGCTGTTGCTACGGCCGCAACCTGCCTGCAACTACTGCTGCTGCTGCTGCTGCTGCTGCTGCCACTGCTGCTACAGCTACCGAAGGTCCACTGCCACTGCCACAACTCCCCCTCCTCCCACTGCCGCTTCTGCTGCTACTACTACTCCGACTCCCACTCCCACTCCCACTCCCACTCCAACTCCCACTCCCATTCCCACCACCACCACCACCACCACCACCACCACTACTACTACTACTACTACGACGACGACGAGGACTACGACTACGACTAC